AACCAATAATGTAAAATACTCAAATTAAATCCTTAAATATCATAATGCTAAAAACCATACAAATAGATAATTCTTATCATATGAAATTGTCCACCAAGTCCACTAATAAAAGAAATAATAATAATAATCCAAGTACTTAAATCATAGTCCTACTCTCGGCACTCCCACATGTAAAAATAATCTCGCGCAACTCTACTCTTCAGAATCTGAAAAAAAAAATAAGGGTAAGCTGTAGCCAAATTACTTGGGGTCTTTTTACTCAAGGCATCAGCCGGGTCATTGGCTTTTCCTGGATGATAATTGATAGTCAAATCATAATCCTTTAATAGCTCCAACCATCTCCTTTGCCTCATATTCAATTCTTTTTGAGTGAAAATATACTTCAGACTTTTATGATCAGTGAATATCTCACATTTCACCCCATACAGGTAGTGCCTCCAGATTTTTAATGCAAACACCACTGCAGCCAACTCCAAAGCATGCGTAGGATAATTCTGCTCATATGGCTTCAACTGCCTAGACGCGTATGCCACTACCTTATCATTCTGCATCAGGACACAACCCAAACCCATCTTCGATGCATCACTATAGATGGTAAAACCTTTATCTCCGGACAGAACTATAAGTACTAGAGAAGACACCAATCGGCTTTTTAGATCCTGGAAACTCTTCTCACAATCATTAGACCATTCAAATTTAACCCCTTTTCTAAGTAATAGGAAATATAATGCCATCTCATAACTAATTCTTTGATATTAATAAATGACTCATATAAGTTAATTTAATTACTAATCTATCCAATAAAATAATAATATTTAAAACTTGGGTTTTACAACGGGCGCACCCCAAGGAAAAACACTAGGCCTAATAAAGTCCTTATCTAGTAACTCTTGTAATTGTTCCTTCAACTCTTTTAACTCTGCTGGGCCATTCGATACGGAGCCCTAGAGATAGGACCCGTGCCGGGTATCAATTTGATGACAAACTCAATCTCTCTATCTGGTGGCAACCCCGGTAAGTTGTCAGGAAAAACATCGGGAAATCCCTTTACAACTAGAATATCCTCTAACTTCAATCCAGTCTCATGAATATCTCTCACAGATGCAAAATAACCCTCGCAACCATTCCTCAACAATCGTCTAGCTTGCAAAGCTGAGACTACCAAAGGAGGAGTGTGAAGTCCACTACCCACAAAACAAAATTCTAGTTGATCAGGAAACTGAAATACTACCCTTTTGCCTCGACAATCAACAGAAGCATAAAGTACCCAAAGCTGCGTGCAAACTCCTCCAAAACATAGATACAAATCTGCTATCTCTGTCCGACACTATGGTCATCGGAATACCATGCAACTTCACAATCTCCTTGATATACAATTTTGCAAACCTCTCTAAGGAGAACCCTACCTTAAAAGCTTGAAAGTGAGCGGATTTGGTTAATCGATCAATAATAACCCAAATAGCATTGTTACCACCTTGGGTCCTAGGCAACCCTGTAACAAAATCCATAGTAATATGTTCCCACTTCCACTCGGGAATAGGAAAGGTTGTAACTTACCTACAGGTCTCTGATGTTCAACTTTCACTTGTGGGCATACCAAACATTGAGCAACATACTGAGCAATTTCCCTGAACTGTGAGCTTCTCTCAGGATTTCTCTCTTGAGCTCTAAATCATTAGGCACACACAACCTCCCTCCAAATCTCAAGGTTCCATTTTTATGCATACAAAATTCCATCTGTAGCCCTATTTCCATTTCAGCCTTAAGTTTTTGCAACTGAGGATCTCTTCCTTGAGCGTCTTTAATTCTATTAATCAATGTGGGTTGAACCCTAAGGTTTGCCAACTGCGCTCCATAGTTGTGCCATCTAATCTCAATATTCAACTTTCGCAAGTCCTCTAAGATATTCTTTTGGTCAGTGATCAAGGTAGCCAAATTACTTGGGGTCTTTTTACTCAAGGCATCAGCCACTGCATTGGCTTTTCCTGGATGATAATTGATAGTCAAATCATAATCCTTTAATAGCTCCAACCATCTCCTTTGCCTCATATTCAATTCTTTTTGAGTGAAAATATACTTCAGACTTTTATGATTAGTGAATATCTCACATTTCACCCCATACAGGTAGTGCCTCCAGATTTTTAATGCAAACACCACTGCAGCCAACTCCAAAGCATGCGTAGGATAATTATGCTCATATGGCTTCAATTGCCTAGACGCATATGCCACTACCTTATCATTCTGCATCAGGACACAACCCAAACCCATCTTCGATGCATTACTATAGATGGTAAAACCTTCATCTCCGGATAGAACTAGAAGTACTGGAGTAGACACCAATCGACTCTTTAGATCCTGGAAACTCTTCTCACAATCATCAGACCATTCAAATTTAACCCATTTTTGTGTTAAACAAGTCAAAGGCATAGAAATTTGGGAAAATCTCTCAACAAACCTTCTATAATAACCTACTAAACCCAAGAAGCTACAAATTTCAGTGACACTAGTAGGCCTATTCCACTGTACCATCGCCTCCACTTTCTTGGGGTCAACAGACACCCCATCTCTAGATATCACATGACCCAAAAATGATACACTCTCCAGCCAAAATTCACACTTCTTTAATTTAGCAAATAATTTCTTCTCCCTTAATATCTGAAACACTATTCTCAGATGTTCTTTGTGCTGCTCTTTACTCTTTGTCACGCCCCAAAATTTGGACAATTAAATATTAAATTAGGACTAAACCCCAATTAATATTCCATCATCCAAATCTTAGGGGTGAAACAAAAAAAACTAAAACGCCAACCAAACCATCCACCATAAATTCATAACTAACAAATACCTCAACATTAAGGTAGCAACAACTAGTCAAAACAACTTAAATAAAGTACGGTTACAAACCATGCCAAATTATTCCAATACTAAAGTCATAAAAAAAATAATAATAATAATAATAAATACATAAACTACTAACAAGCCTAAGCTCAAAAAAAAAAAACAAAAGAAATCCAAGAGATATGCCCAAAAACTTTAGTTACTTCTCGTCACCACCGTAGCCTCAACTAATCCTGCAAAGGAAGCTCAGCTGCGTGAATACGTGTTTCAGTAGCCTCAACTAATCCTGCAAAGGAAGCTCAGCTGCGCTCAAACAGAACGCACCCGAGTTGCCAAGAGACAAAACGGGTCAGTATACGGATATACTGGTATGAGTACAAGATTTAACACCCACGTGTCCACCAGACACAGGCAAAAATATATTTAATTCTTATCACGGGACAAGACAAGTAGTTCTAACCGTACCGAGACGAATGGGTAATTTCCCGAGATACGGTGGCATTTAGTTTCTTGTCCGTACACAACGAAATATAAATTGATTATAGAATAGACAAAATAGAAATAAAAAATATGGTGGGTTAGCCCTGCATAAAAAGTTAGTAAGACCCACCATCCTACAAAACAAATAAAGTTAGTATAATTTAATCATAAGTAACTTATTAAAAAATATATATATATAAAAATTCCACCGTTTCATACTTAAATAATTCGAATTGATCAAAACTCAAAGAACGAAAGTTGTACAGAATCAAATTTCCTATAAGACAGCGTGAACGAATTTAACAGAAACTGAACAGGTTAAGAGAAAAACTTGATATAAAAAATCTAGACAGATTTCAACCGAAAAAAAAAATATGAAACTGAAAACGAACAGAAACTATCCTAAGATGATTTTTTTCCGGAAAAGTTCAAAATATGAAAAGTGTGCAGAATAATGTTTTACTTCAGTTTACGTGAAACCAATAAAAATGAGCTCATTTCATGGGTTAACACAGCCTATAAAATCTGCATTACCAAAATGAATCAAACCGACAATAACCAAGGTCATCCGATTATAAGTTCTATTTGATCTTTTTAATAAAAAGGTACAACACAAAAGTTGTTCAAAATCACGTATACATACCTCTCCTCAAATTTCATAATTTATTAAGATCGTTTACTATTTTTTTTTTATCATGTATATAACAGTACCATACACACTACACTAATAAATTCATAATTAAATTCTTTGTATCTTAACTCCACCACTTCGGCTCTCCCATTCCGGCCTACACATATATCCCATGTGCCTCCCGTATACCTAACACCACTCCGAAGCCAAATTTGCATGGGGATATCGTCCCGAGTTTGACTCACACTCCCCGAATGGTTAGCATATACGTACGCATGCAAATCAAAGCACTCGTCTACTCATGAGAACGAGGCAATAATATATATATACATAACATCTCACACATGAGAATAAACATAACAATGCTGAGCCTAAGGCATTCAAATAAATCTCATAATCCTCACTTTTTTTATACACTCTTTTTTCACCATCACTCAAATAAAACAACAATCCATGGAGTCATGGTGGAGTATAAGGAATTTATCTATAGGTTTATAATTAATTTTAATTTCATATGGCCATGAGTGTAATTACAACCGTAAAATAAATCCATATAAAAATCATAAACATGTCATATACAACTAATCCAAATAAGTAAAATCAATCCTTCATTTACATGCAAATACAAAATCAATCCAACATCAAATAAAAATAAATAAATAAAAACAACGAATCAATCCATCCTCTAACCAATATCTCTAATCAAAATAATTAAAATCAATCAATCATCTATAAACCCTAAACCTTACATACACATCTAAACAAAATAATTAAAATTAATCAATCATCTAAAAACCCTAAACTTTACCTACACAACTAATCAAAGTAATTAAAATCAATCAATTATCTAAGAACCTTAAACTTTACATAGACCACTAGTCAAAATAATTAAAATCAATCTATCATCTTTGTGTGAATACAAAATCAAACTAATATCAAATAAATAAATAAAAACAAAGAATTAAATACAAATCAAGGGAAGTAGATTTTGTACTCACAATTATTTTTGAAGATCAAAGAATCACTCAAAGAATTAATAAAGTCATCCAAAATAAAGCCCTAAACCTTGCATACCCAACTAATGCAAATAATTAAAATCAATCAATCATCTATAAACCCTAAACTTTACATACACCACTAGTCAAAATAATTAAAATCAATCTATCATCTTTATGTGAATGCAAAATCAAACTAATATCAAATAAATAAATAAAAACAAAAAATTAAATATAAATCAAGGGAAGCGGGTTTTGTACTCACAATTATTTTTGAAGATCAAAGAATCACTCAAAGAATTAATAAAGTCACCCAAAATAAAACCCTAAACCTTGCACACCCAACTAATGCAAATAATTAAAATCGATCAATCATCCAAAAACTCTAAACCTTACATACACGTCTAATCAAAATAATTAAAAATTAGTCAATCATCTAAAAATTCTAAACCTTACATACCCAACTAATTAAAATAATTACAATCAATTAATTATCTAAAAATCTTAAACTTTACATATACATCTAATCAACATAATTAAACTTAATCAATCATCTAAAAATCCTAAACCTTACATATACATCTAATCAACATAATTAAGGCCTCGTTTGGGAAGTGGCTATTTTAGTAGGCTATTTTAGTTTTTAGCTACTTTAAGTAGGCTAAAATTTTTGTGTTTGGGAAGATGATTGGATTTTTTTGTGGTTGGATGTGATGTTTGTGAGAGAAAAAGTGAAATGATTATGGGTTTGATGTGATATTTTGTCTTATTACCTATTTTAGCCTATTTTGTCTTTTTGTGATTTTTAGCCTAAATTTAGCTATTTTTAGCCTAAATTTAGCTATTTTTTTCTTCCCAAACACCCCCTAAAATTAATCAATCATCTAAAAATCCTAAACCTTGCATACTCAACTAATTAAAATTATTACAATCAATTAACCATCTAAAAATCTTAAACCTTACATATACATCTAATCAACATAATTAAAATTAATCAATCATCTAAAAAAAATCCAAACCTTACATACCCAACTAATTAAAATCATTACAATCAATTAATTATCTAAAAATCCTAAACCTTACATATACATCTAATCAACATAATTAAAATTAATCAATCATCTAAAAAATCCCAAACCTTACATACCCGACTAATTAAAATTATTACAATGAATTAATCATCTAAAAATCCTAAACCTTACATATACGTCTAATCAACATAATTAAAATTAATCAATCATCTAAAAATTCTAAATCTTACATATACATCTAATCAACATAATTAAAATTAATCAACCATCTAAAAAAATCATAAACCTTACAGACCCAATTAATCAAAACAATTAAAATCAATCTGTCATCTTCATATCAATACAAAAATCAAATCAATATTAAATAAATACAAATAAATAAATATAACGAATCAAATATAAACAAAGAAAAATAGATTTTGTACTCACAATATTATTTTGAAGATCAATAAAATATTTAGAGAATTAAAGGAGCCACCAAAATAAAACCATAATCTTTTTTATTTCTCCTCACTGCCGCCGTCCCTCTGCTCTCTCTCAATTTTCTTTGATTAATCTCTCTCTCTCTCTCTCTCTCTCTCTCTCTCTCTCTCTCTCTCTCTCTCTCTATATCAATACAAAAATCAAATCAATATTAAATAAATACAAATAAATAAATATAACAAATCAAATATAAACAAAGAAAAGTAGATTTTGTTCTCAATTTTTTTTTTTTTTTGGGATGATTGAAGCAATATCTAAAAGATTAATTGAACCACCAAAGTAAAACCCTAGTCCCTTTTTTTTTTCCTTTTCTTTTCTTTTTCTCTTTCTTTCTTTTCTCTACTCCACTGATGCTCTCCCCTGCCGTCTCTCTCTATCTCTCTCTCCCCCTCTCACGCGGCTGCTCTCCTATGCGGCTGCCTCTGTTTTTCTTTTTTTTTTTTTTCTTTTTCTTTTTTGTTTTGTTTTGATTCTAACCTAATAGAAACTAATGTTATTATATTATATAGAACAAATACCATATAAATATAATATAAATAATATGATATATATATTTTATTTTATTAACTAACTACAAAATATATAAATATACTTTATAACATCAATACATGTCACACCCTTTTTTTTTATATATATATAAATATAGATATTTGAATTAATTATATATAATTAACTATCACATTAAATGAATTGAACAACACATTAAATTAACTAAATATCATATTAAACTAATTAAATATCACATTAAATTAATAGAATAACACATTAATTTTCATGTAACCACTCCATTAATAAAACCAATAATAAAATAAAATCATAATAATAATAAATAAATAAATAAAGACTTATAAAAAATTAGGGTCGCTACACTCTTCAAGTACACAAGAATGTCATAAATAAAAATTACCATAAACTAATCTAAGAAGGGTTGAAATACTCTGTTCATTAAATCCATAAAAGCTGCAGGCGCATTGGTCAACCCAAACGACATCACTAAAAATTCATAATGCCCATATCTAGTTCAGAAGGCTGTCTTAGGTATATCTTCCGCCTTAACCTTCAACTGGTGAT